GGATTGGCACAGATGCCCTGGTGAGGACAGGATTGGCCCCATGGCCACAGGATTGGTACAGCTGCCCCATGGGGACAGGATGGGCATGGGACTGGCACCATGGGCACAGGATTGGCACAGCTGCCCCATGGGCACAGGATTGGCACCATGGGCATGGGATTGGCACCATGGGCACGGGATTGTCATGGATACCCTGGTGAGCATGGGATTGGCACGGTTGCCCCATGGGCACAGGACTGGCACAGCCACCCTGGTGAGTATGGGATTGGCACGGTTGCTCCATGGGGACAGGATTGGCACCATGGGCACAGGATTGGCATGGATACCCTGATGAGCACAGGATTGGCACGGCTGCCCCATGGGGACAGGATTGGCACGGCTGCCCCATGGGTCACACTCCTGCCCGCGGCTCACATGGCACCAGCGTGGCACCAGCGTGGCACCCACCTGTGCCGGTGGATGATGGCATTGAAGAGCCGCCCGTCCCTCCAGCTGGTGGTGAAGTTGTCACAGCGCAGGCCCTGGTAATCCTCCACCATCCTCTGCGACCACAGCAGCAGCTTCTCCTTGGCCGTCATGTCCTCCGACTGCCCGCTCACCTGGATGTCCGAGATCTGCCAGGACACGGCTGTTACTCTGCAAACTGGCACAGCGACACTCCGGGCATGGCAGATGCCAGGGACACCACGCTCCCGCCCCCACTGGGGACCCCCCAGCAGCTCGGAATCCTGTCCCCTCGGTACTGCTGTCCCTGTCCCCCACCCCGGGGTTCACCTGGAAGTGGAGGATGATGGTCCAGATGAGCCCCAGGGTCAGTTTGGGGTTGCCATCGGCGATGTCATCGTTCCGGATGTTCACCAGCTTCACCTGCGGCACAGGGCACAGCGGCTCAGGGATGGGCGAGCGTGGCACAGCCCCGGGGGCATCCCAGGGGCGCCACCCCATCCTCACCTGCCGATGCTTCAGGTAGTTGAGGGCAATCTGGACATTCTGCAGCTTGTGGAAGCGCATCCGGCCCTTCTCCCGGGGCTGGGGGAGGGAGAGGAGGGCGCTGAGTGCGGGTGCAGCGGGCACAGCGTCCCTGCTGTGTCCTGCCACCGCAGCCCCCCCTCCACGACACGCCCCTGTCCCCCCTCCCCCGCCATGCCACCACACCGTCCTGCCACCCCGGCCGTGCCACTCCGGCTCCATCCGGCCCCTCCCGGCTCATGCCGATGGCACCGCCCTCGCACTTTGTCCCCGCAGGGGTGGGGACGCTCCCCGTGCTGCCCCCGCCGCCAACCCGCCCGTACGGGCTGTTCCCACGGCGCACCCGGCGGCACCGGGACCAGCGGAGCCACCCCGGGACCAGCGGAGACACCCCGGGACCAGCGGAGACACCCCCAGGGGAGCCCAGTGCCCGACGTGTGGCCACAGCAGGACTGGGGGTGGCCTCGGTGCCAGTGACAACACTGCATGTGTGGCCACCGTGGTCCCTCGCCATGCAGCTCCCCAGCTCCACTGTCCCCTCAGCAGGACCAGGAACTGCCAAGCTGGGGGAGCCCCCCAAATTCGTGGATCCCGGCCGGGGTCCGCTGGGTCCTGCCCGAACAGACCCCCCCCCCCCCCACGTTCCTGCCCCGTGGCAATGCCAACGTTCCCCCAGCTAAGCCCAGCTTTGGCTACTGGCGGAGCTGGGGACTCCATGAACCCTCTTGTGCCACCAGGGTCACTCCCGTGCCACAGGAAGGGGCCAACATGGACCCGCAGCCGCTCGGGGGCAGGCCCAGCCCTAGTGTGACCTAGTGACCCAGGCAGTTGGTGGCCACGTGCCACTCCCTTGCCAGCCAGCCCTGCTGTGGTGCCAGGAGCCACAGCGTAGCTCCAGCATGGTGGCACCACTCCCAGCGATGCTGAGCGTGGAAAACGATTTCTGTCTCGCTGCTGCCACTGAGCTGTGGCCCAGGGACACCCACCCACCCCCTTGGCATCAGGGGGGCACCAGGACAGGCAGAGCATGCAGCCAGAGCACGGGGATGGCACTGGGACGGGCATGGCACGTGGCCGGGCCACTGGGACAGGCATGGCACACGGCATGTGGCACACGGGACATGGCACATGGGACATGGCACATGGCACACGGGACATGGCTCATGGCACACGGGACATGGCTCATGGCTCATGGCACAGGACATGCAGAAGGTCCCGGGACGTGCTCGGTGTCACAGCACGGTGGCCGTGCCAGCCCGTGCCAGCCCGTGCCAGCCAAGAGCCGACGGCAGAACCACTCACCAACCGCAAGGTCCGCAGGACGTCGCGCTCCCGGGGCTGCCCCGGCCGAGCCGAGCGGAGAGGAGCAGAGAGAGGAAGAGGAAGAGGAGGCAAAGGCGGCGGTGGGCCGGGGGCCGGCGCCAGGAAGCAGAGAGGGCACCAAAGCAAAGAGAGGTTAGAGGCGGGGGGCGCGGGCACTCCGGGGTCACCGGGACAGACCGACGGCCAAGCAGAAGAGAGGGAACAGAGGCAGGCAGCGAGGGTGAGGACGACGATGAGGACGAGGATGGCCGGCGGAGGTGCCGGCAGGAATGGGGGGGCCAGAGGGGGCGGGGCAGCGCGGCACCTACCAAGGTGTCACCCGACAGCACCTCCAGCAGCGAGATGAGGTTGTGCCCGTCCCGCAGGTCCTCGTACAGGTCGTTGACATGGCGCTGCGCCTGTGGGGACAGCCACGGTGTCAGGGGACAGCTGAGCATCCCCCAGCCCCCAGGCAGCACCGGGGTGGGTGCCCGGTGACCCCACAGTGCAGAGGGTGCTCACACACACACACACAGCCCCCAGTGCAGCTGGTGCCAACAGCGCCACGACCCCCACCCCAAACACGCACTGCACCTCCCCTGTGCCAGCATGGGCCCAGCAGCACTCTGGCATCACTCTGGCATGCACAGAGACCCACCACGGAGGGGTCAGACCCACCGCCCACCATGAAGGGTCAGACCCCCCCACCCAGCACAGCAACAGCCCCACGGTCCCCCCCCAGCGCGGGTGTGCAAGGAGGAAGAGCGCAGTGGGACACAG